GAAATATTTGGGGCCAGTTTTTCTATTTTCTACCATTTAATACGCCCAATATTGACAATGCAAATGATTGACAAACACACAATGGATTTATCAAGGGCACCGTATAACATTTTGTTAACAATGATCTATTTTTCTATCAAGGACATGTTATTTAAAGGGGTATTGAGAGTTAAGCAGTACGAAGGAACAATAGCATTTGAGGGTATTTTCTTGCTCTATATCCCGCTTTTCGTACCACAGTGATGGAAATATGTGGTAAGCAGTCTGACTAGAAGTAGACTGAGATCATTCAAGGGACAGGGAGCTAGGAGGCATTATGCATGAACACACGAAGCCCCAAGCAGGATATGGTTCACATTTGCGGTACGAGTATTCATTTTAACATTGTGTTGAGTAAAGTTGTGCTGTAAACAGTAAAGCTGGGACACATTAGGGCTACACTCACTGTTTTCACTTCTTGAGAAAAATATGACAACTCACGCATTAACACAATACAAGTCGGTGGAGTGAACAAGACTGCAAATATCAACACTTTAAAGTGCTTTTAATCAATATTTTCATATTAACCATAAAATCACATGACTAATTTTATGTGAAAGGAGTCGCTCGCAGTGACAAACCAACAGCGAATTATCACCCGACTCTGCTTTTCCCCCGACCTCAACAAAGCATATTAGCGCACCTACTGTTCTGTTTTCTATCTCCGATCTCCTCTCCTCATCTGTCTCTTTTCATCATCCTGTGCCTCAGCCATTACAAATCCCTTCAGCACCTGCTCACACCTCTCATTGTCCGACTGAAGCCTAAGGCCGTGCTCTTCAGCAACCACACACACTTTGACACATTAAAGGGGTTCAACCTAATTACCTCTGAGATCTTTATTATATTTGTTGTCCACTTTCTCCTGTGTGGCTCAAACCGAGTAAATCGTGACAACAAACAAAGCAGGATAAAATATACAGGGCGGGATTAGCAAGCCTGCAGCTTTGTGGCTACTCTAATAGGAGCAAATGTGTGCTCGTATATGAAGTGTGCGTAAGTTGTGCACATGTTGAATGGAGGTTTAAGCGTACATCCGCTAAGAAAGGGAATCCTCATTGTTTAGCCCACAGAAGGCAGCTGCTGAATGCAGAGCATCATCTGTCATTATAGAATAGCTCACAATGAGATGTACAGTATCTCCCAGCAGCACCTCAAGCACAGAGCTGTCTCTCATCTTGACTCTGTCACAGCATGCGTGTCTCTACATCTCTCACTGTGCCATTTCCATGTCTCAAAATAATGCAGCGGTCATTAGTACACCACGCTGCTAACACAAATAGTTCAACCATTATTTCCACATGTGCTGTTGCACAAGCAGACTCATAAGAGACCACCTCTGTCAAGCATTACAGGGATTTCCGCTTTGAGTCATCTTGAATGAGTCTCGATTAGGGGACTTCGGCTCTTGGCCCACACTGATGATTGACTGAATCTGGATCCAGTTTGGATTTTGGGAGTCAATAGGATGTAATCCTACATATTTCCAAGGGCATTCCAGTCTGGGCCATGACTGGGCCTGTCGAGGGATTTTAGAGCTCCTGGCTGTTTTGAAACTTTCCAAGATAGATTTAGCTGTATGCTTACTACGGGCATATAAACTGAAGCATTTATCCAATGTTTTAGTTGTTTTAAAGCAGACTCTCATATAGAATTAGTTTGTATCTGACTCCGTTAACTGGTTTCTCAATCCTTCTTCAGTCTCAGGGTCCTTTAAAAAGGTGAACACGTGTTTTTTTGAGTCTTCAAACTGAATATTTTGCTTCATACTGTTTTTTTCTTTTTTCTTCTGCCTTGTCTGCCAGACAACCAAGATTTATGAGGTGCCGCACCGATTCCTGAAGGCATGATGTCCTGGGACTGTATATGTGTCAGAGCAGCTGTTGACCGTCCTGAAAATCAGCCCTCGTGCACAGTTTGCTCAGAGCTATGGGAAGTGGTTTGGCATTTCCATTTTTCCTTTTCCAAATCCCAGAACCTACTGTGATCTTGTGAACCCCCAAGAGTTATTTTTCCTTTGTAGTTCAATCTTTATTTGGTGACCACAGGGGTGAGAAAAAAGGATTGGGAGCAAGAGGGACAACATGCAATGAAATTCTCAGATTGATGTTAAAGTCATTCGTGCACTTAACCCAGTGGCAAGTACTAATTAATAAAATCAAAACCAGTCCATGCATGCACACATGGTGACGCAATACATGGTCATGCTGAGGGTATTAAGGCTCTTCGACTGATCTACAGGTGGGGAAACTTGCCAGCAAATGTAGAATTCTGCCAACAAAGGCATGATATGAAGAGGACTAATGGCCAAAACTGTGTTTTGTGAGGTCACAGTGACCTTTGACCCTCAATCAATTTACCCATGATAATAATAATAATAATGTAAACCTTCAATTCTTCATTCTGTTTCCAACTTCCTGACCTCTAGTCTACCATTTAGCACGTATTGTCACTCTACTGATCACAGCATCGAGTCTTTTCTGAACACTTAGTTTAAATCATCTCATTACAGCTGATATATTGATACTTAGAATACTTTCAACAGCGCAGTGAGGTACAATTGAGTTAATGGATCTTTGTTGCACTGCAACAATTCGAAAAGAGTCTGCTGACTAAGACACGGCAGCTACACTAATGGAAACCTTTTATCATTAAGTCAAAGCATTGAAATCAATCCCACAGTGCTGCACTGGATTAAAGTTGCTATGTAACCTAAAACCTAACCTGCCCTGGGGTTATTTATAAATATATGTTTTTCCAGTCTGAACTATTGATTCACATGATAAAGGGTGACATTTTGAACTAAAACTAAAAATAGTTAATGGCACCTTATCTGCTTCTGCCGTCTACTGCAAATTGCACAGTGAGGTTTAAATTAGTGGGAAGTGATATGTGACATAAGGCCAGGGCTGTGGACTGACAAGCCTGGGAAGCTGGTGTGATTCAGGTAACAGTGAACAGGACAAACATTCACAGCCAACAGAGAACTCTTAGGAATGACATCAGCCCACCACACCACCTCCAAAAAAAGAACTAGCTTTTTCTGAGAAACTCCCACACATCTGATCATCACAACTCCCTGATCACACTCACATGTTATCTTTTGCCTCCTGAATAATAAATACCCTTGCTGGTCCTCATCGTTTTTTGTCAAACTCAGCAAATACAACATTTCGCAACTTGATCTGTGAATGCAAAGTCTGCAACATTATTCAGTTCTCTGATTCTATCATATTTCACCTCCTCTGCTTACATTGAGAAAAGGAAGCATTCATTTTCAAGTATCTGTTTTCCATCTCACCCACATCTACCAGCGTGCAGGCTGATGAGGGCAAAGCGCAGACAGAGCCCATTCTTCAGAGCTTGAAATCATCCTCCAATGTATATTCAGTTACACAAGAAAAGAGAGAGAGCTTATATACTTGGGTATGTGAAGGAACAAACTTCTGAGCTGTGTCAGTACTGAGAGTAGTAAGTATGCATATTACTATATTTGCATTGCAATAAACTTCTCGCAAACATCTGATGTGCTTCAGGCAAACTAACTGGTATTAATCATGAAGCTGCATCTGTCTGGAAACATGTCAAGTCTGCTGATCATAACCACCGTCACAGTTGTTTCAGTTACAACCACAAGATGTACATGCACAAGCGCAAACAAGCACACAAACACAGACACACAGGTCTGCTGACATGACGCATGAATCACTAATTACTTAATAACAGGGTATTGACTGATCATGCTCGTGACTCCAGATTTTTTGATAGAGACGTTTGACTTGGGAATATTGATGAGTAAATCTAAAAATTGTGTTGTAAAGTAATCAAATCTATTTAGAGAACAGTGGAACAATGTTTAACAATTGAGGAAACACAGGTCTTGGTGAACACGTACACTTTGAAAGTGGTGAAGTTATGGTTTCAGTTTCCTGAAGCCTGACTCAAAGTGTTGACAAGTATGTATCGTCATCACGTGCTAATACCCCAGGGCCTCCTCTTCTCACAACTCTGGGTGAATGCCACTGCACCGACCGTGGGTTACAACAAACCACCCAGATGCAGACAATGAGTAGTAGGTGAACACTTATTACGGCTTCCTGTAAACTACCCGATCATCAGACCACCGCCGTTAACAGGGCTAACATCAAAGCCGGCATACCTATATAATAAACCCACATTAATCACATCCTCCAGCTGGTTTTTATCTCCCAAAAACTTGACTTTCCTCAGTACCTCTGACTAATGCTCATGGGCACAGACAGACGGGAGGCTGGTTAACCTCGGACTCCTCCCAGAGGAGCTTTGTCCGGTGGGAAAGGCAAGGCCCAGACCAGTCCTCCAGGGTTGTCAGGTTTTGCACACTCCTCTCTAACAGAGACAGATATGGAGCCAAGTAGACACACATGCCTTGTGTGGCGAAGGCTGCACTCCCAGGCACACCTTATATTAGCGGGGCCAGCCAGCAGAGCAAAGCCCAATCGCTTGGGAGACACCAACAGGGCATGCAAACACATACCACTGCAACAAAAGAATTAACGGTCGCCATTCCTGCTGAGCTTTCTATGTACAGAATGATTACAGAATGAGGGGAAGGAATTCTTTTTAGGAGAAACTATTTATGCTGGAAACCCTTTACTGGCAGTGTTCAGATGTACATCCAGCTTTTCAGGGAAAAGCATTGATGATAACAATAACGAAAACTCCCTTTCTCTGTTTCCGTTTCAATTCAAGCTCTCCCTCTTTTTTTTCGCGGAGGAGTTTTGGTTCATGTTTCAACAACTGCATAAATGATACATCAAGGTTTCAGCTCTTTCTTCCTTTTTCAACTGTAAAATGAGATATCATGATTCAGAGATACAAACCTGCCATAAATGCTGAGGACGAAGCACAACGTGTGTTCTGAGTGAGAGGGAGTGGGACACACAAACGCACACTGAGGGAAGGTAAAAATGAAAACTCACGGTGAGTGGCAGCGAGCAGACCACAAAGATGACAGTGATGAGCGCCAGCAGCACCAGGTGGTCCATCTCCTTTTCCCCCTGTATGAACCAGGCCAGGCTCAGCCTCCTCCTCCCCGTCGACCCAACCGAGCCGCGCCGCATCATCTGGTTCCGTTGCATCTGGCGCAGGCTGACAATCACTGAACCGTTGCACACAAACACAGCAAAGATCAGCAGCGCCATGACGGAGGAGTAGGACAGAGAGAAGGCCAGCACCAAGTTGGCCTGTTCATCCCCTGTTGCATCCATGTCGATGAAGCACCACGTGCCGGGACAGTACTGTCTGAATTTGCCGTAGCCGCAGTATGGCAGCAGACAGAAGCCCAAAGAAAAGAGGTAAATAAAGAAAAGCGTGAATTTGGCAAACCTGCGGCGGATGTGTACAGAGTAAAAGTAAGGGTGGCTGATGGCCAGGCAGCGCTCCACGGCCATGGCACACAGGATGAGCGTGGGCGCCAGGCCGAAAAAACTCATTGCAAAGCCAAAGTGCTTGCACAGGCCCTCACCGCCCAGACTTATCAGGGACATGTTGCAGGCGTAGCAGATGAACACAGGTGGGCTGAGGAGGCAGGTGCCCAGCAGGTCGGTGAGGGCCAGGCCGGTCACCAGGATGCAGAAGACAGAAGACCTGGAGCGATGCTCCTTCCGGTGCACCCCGAGGATGAAGAGAGCCAGCAGGTTTCCCACCACGCCAGCCAAAAACATGATGATGCTTGTCGCTGGCTTGCCATCTTCATTCACGATGAGACTGTCATTGCACGTGATATTGTTACACAATTCGTTTGAAACCATGCTTTTGTTCATGTTTAACTCACACCAGAGAAATATGCCTGCTCAGTGTGGAATAAATAAGGAATTCCCAAGCAACAAATGGAGATCCTGACCTCTTGACACCATCATTTGGCAACACTGAAGGCAGGTGTGTGTGGTAAGTCCCATAATGATGCGTTGACTAAAGACGTCTGTCTCTCTCTTTTATTGCAGAGATTTTTGGAATCTTTCTGTGAAACAAATAACACAAGAAAAAAAAGTTGCTTAGTGCTTTCTTTCATTCCCCCATCATGTTAACATGTTAACAATGATCTTATCATAGTTTTAGTGACAAATAATCACTTACCTTTCATTGGCTCTGCCTGAGAGAAGAAATACTGAAACATTTAAAAGTAACCAGCCTGCTCCTCCTCCATCTTCTTCTTCTGCAGATTCAGGCTCCTACTTTGTAAAATATTTAACGGATACGGAGTTCAAAACTGCCGCTGCCGGTAACGTGTCGGCAGTTCTGAACTCACAGGGGAGAGAGAAACACTGAGAAAGAGCCGCTTTTCTCCGCTTACTTTCTGCGTCTGTCTCTCTTGCCGCACCTCCCAGTCTCTTTCGGATCGATGTTAAAGTCCCACCCACTGTGCTGCTGCAGCCAAAGACGCTGACAGACATTATTCAAAAGACCATTTAGATTAAATAAAGGCGAACATCTTAAAGAATTCACTTGTTTATGCTGGCTATTAATCAGCATGAACTGTTTGTGGAGTTATTTTCTTCCTTGTTTCAAGGTATCGTGCATGTTTGTGTCCAGAAATAGAAGCAGATGCATTACATGAGCACTCTGAATAGCCAAAATCAAAAACATTTTCCCCTCAAGTTTAGATAAAACCCAAATATATAACTTTAAAAGTGAACTATCAGTGACTTGTATTGTAGTATAGGCTAAATAAATAACAAAACACAGACACCAACACACTGAAAGGGTTCATTTTCAGGAACACTTAGTATTGTCAGTATTGGCTTGTTTCACAAGAAGAGCTTAGAAAAAAAATGTCATCCAATTAGTCTTTTGTACAAGTATTTGGTTTGGCAGTGTTTTCTTGGTTTAAGTGGCTGTTTTGAATAGCCTTATTATCTATAGTTTACATTTCATGCAGCCTTTGGTGCAACTCAACCGAGAAAGGGAGAACCATGTGCTTCAGCTGAATCTACAAAAAGTTTGCCCAGCTTGTTTGTGCTGGTTCATTCTTCATTTCTAGATCCTTTACCTGCTTGTGGACACAGCCTGAGTGAGATACCTGAATGAAGAGGGACATCTTCCAAAAGTGTGAACGGGTAGACTTTGATATAGCCCTCAGGGTTACAAATATGCTGTGAAATATTTGAGCAACTTGAGCGCTTGACAAAAGTGCCTATATACATATACATAGCATAAAACATGCAACAACCAGGATGCTTTTGGGGAAAGATGTATTTGGATCATTTAGTAAATAAACATAGAGATTCAACAAAATAAAATATTTCTTATTTAGTAAACATATTAAACATTTGACCCTACCTAGACGTGCAGTGATCTTATCAAACAGATATAGCTACATAGTACACAAATGAAAGTACTCAGAATGCAGATTAACTAGATGTTATATCATCATGAAAATTGTAAGCAGAAATATGGTAATTTGAAGTGCTTTATATTGTTTTTTTTATATTCAACAGATCATCATATATCCTGGAGGAAGTTTTAAAGCAAAACATTTTTTTCCTTCTTAAATGTAGTGGAGTAAAAGTATAAAGGGGCAATATTAAATGGAAATACTCACATAATTAATTTACTTTATTCTTCTCCATCACCGCAGGGACAGGAAGGCTCCATTCTTTGCTGTGTAATTTTGCAAATTAAAATGCTTGGTCCCATGGGAGAGTGACCTCATTCATTTGTCCAAACACGGTAGATGTTAAAGCTTGTTTCAATTGATCTGATTGATCGATGGGAAACGCTGCAGTTACAGCCTGCAGTTGCTTTACAGGTTTGTCTGGATGTTGATAGTGTTTGACTTACATATTGGTCATTGTGTTTAACGCTGATGCAGTCCACAGCCACGATGCACCTGTGCAGGTGCTTTCACTTACCCTACCTGATTAGCCCTCTTCTCTGGACTTTATCAGTGGGAGCAGGATGTGCCTGATATCCCTCACACACTGCTTTGCTTCACCAGCTACAACTTTCAACTTTGAAAGCATCGTTATAATTCTTCACATCTTTATCATTCTTATTGGTACATTGGTTTTAATATTCCACGTGATTTTTTTTTTAGCACTGTATCTCCAAACTTGAGCAGAGGTCTAATTTAGATTGGAGAAGTGGAAACGCCTGTGCGTGCGTGCAGGGCCTTCCAAGACAGCAAAACTCAATCATCTGTAGGTAGAATTGTTCGAAAATAGAATAACAGATCAACAGCTACTGCCAACCGCTGTGATATTATGTTGGTTGATGGATATAAAATGGCACATAATGAACACATCACCATTTCCACAGACGCAGGAGGCAATAATGAAAGTCCCGAGGAGCCATGCTGCTCTCCTTAATGGTTTATTTTCATGACACTTAAAATAAGATGTAGCAACAATAAAATGAACACAATCAAGAAAATAGACTGCATAGTAATTACATTTTATTGCTCAGTTTCTACTCTCAGTAATCTTGCTTCCTGTTGCTGTTATTGACAGAACATAATGATATCAGCATAGTGCCAATGCTCTCTTCTGGTTGGAGTAATGGAGATCAAGTTTCTCCGCGTTTTACACTCCGTAAATGAACATGTTGAGTTGCATTGCTGGTAGTAGGTGGTAGCTTGCTGGAAGGGGCCACTGTGATATTGTCAAACAAAGACATGCAGATATTTGTTTTTATCTCCAACTACCACAAGGCACCTAAAAGGCGTGGATTGCACACGGGGTGTTTATAGTTGCACTGCTGATAAAACAAACCAGGCTGCCATCTTTGAATAAACAGCAGACAGCCGTGCTCACAACAGACGCAGACATACTTGCATGGTTTCCCCAAACCGGTTTGTGAACAGTGCCGACCAAGACACCAACATCATAACTATTTGGTCATTTTACACAAGTTCTCATCCTGATAAGCAGTTTACAATGAGTGCAGCCAAGCATCAATGTACAATAGGAGCTGCTGGTGTTTGGTTACATGTGTTTGTTGTTAATTAAAAGTGTGAATAGGTGTGGTGACTCAAATGTGCAGTGAAGATGAATGGATGATGGACAGAAGGCTGAGTGAATAGACAAATAGATAATGGATGGAGGACTGGATGGTTTGATAGTTGGATGGATGAATAGATAGCTGGATGATGTATGGATGGATGATTGTTAAATGAGTGGATGGATGATGGACAAATGTATGAAAAAATGAATGGATGAATATATAGATGGGTGGTAGGATGGACAAAGCAATACACAGAGGGATAATCAGTGGCTGGGTGGATGGAGAAAGGGATGGATAGAGAGATGGATGAATGGGTCAAAACAGGACACTAACTTTCTGTTCCAGCTAATTTGGACCTGTTCTCACAAAGAAGGAAAAGGCAAGTCACTCAATATAAACTATAAAATACTTTTATCACACATTAACCACACATGTAATTACATGATGTGCCTTCATCCAAGCATTCAGGACACATTACATAATATTGAAAACACTTAGGTCTGTCTGCACACTGTCCTGGAAGACAGTTTAGAAAATGCAAACTGAAGATGAAATCTGTTCATTGTATTGTCCTGTTTTTGCTTACCGGTGACCGCCAGCGTATGTAGTTACACTAACGACTCACGATACTCACTAGGTTAGCTGTGGAATCAAATAGTATAAAAAATCCTGTATAGAAAGTGCAGAAGTATGACATGCAGTGACTAGTGTTTGTGTCTGTGCGTGTTCTGCCTGGAACTGTCTCACCATAAGATGCTTGGTCTGGTAAGCATCATTTCCTCCTCCAATTGAATCACAGAGAAAAAAAAACCGTGCTCCTTTCCAAATTAATGAGGTGTTGCATGCATGTCGACCTCTGCGTCACGAGGGCTGTGAGTGTGGACCCAAATGCAGGCACGGACCAGGGATTATAGGTGAAAGGTTTATTTACAGGAAACCAAGGGGGGGGGGAAATGACCAGAGCACCGCGGGAAAGTCCAGGGAGGGTGAGGGTGGAATCCAGGCAGGAGGAGGTAGGGCAGGGCAGGCAGACTGGGGAACCGGGAGGATGGAAAAACTGCAGGAACAGAGAGACAGGGTTAAAGCGCTGAAACAACACTTGAGGAAAACTCTGAATTAACTTCAAACAGAGCGGCCAAGAACTACTAGCTACCGCGTGAGCTGTAAACAACGATCTGGCGAAGAGTGGATGAAGAACCGGGGTATATATACTGTTGGGTTGATGAGTTCATGGAGTGCAGCTGGCTTGACTGGGCAAGTGAGTTGTAATTAGGAAGCCGGGAAGAGACCAGGTCCAAGCCCTGCCCACAAGATACACACACGGGACAAGCAGGAGGCACGGCCTGGCCGTGACACTCTGGCTTGTATTTTCAATGCAGCAGCATCTGCTTGCTGATGGGAACTTGAACAAAGAATGTCACAATTTTCAGGAAGAGAATCATACATCATATGATAACTCATGCTTCACTGGAATCACGAAACGTGGAGTCCAGGGAGGCATGGTCTTGGCTGTATTGATTTGACTCTTTCATCCCAAATTGAAAACAGAATGTTAGTGGAGACCTGAATGTGAAGTTTAAACTTTAATCTGAAGATAACTGATAATGTAAAAAGTCACATTTAACGTTATGTGTGTTGTCATATTTCAAATATGCAGCCAACACTGTTGGTCCAACTCCACGAAGAAACGCTGGACAGCAGCGTGCATGTGTGTGTGAGAGAGAACGTAAGATAGATGCATATTGTATTACTTACACGGTCTGATTGCCCATTATTGTTGAGTGCTTCCTCTATAATTACTACAGTCTGTTTTCATCGATTGATCAAGTATCAATTATGTAAGAAATGTTACTCACCAAATTATTTCATGAGCCAGAACCTGTTTTCAGCTGTGCACGTCACGATGTACGAGAGTTTTGCCTTGCCGGACGTCAAGTCCTTTTTTGTGTTTGATCTTACTTTGAGAAACCAGTGATGCAAAGCAGGTGTTGACTTCCACAATGGTAAATGCTGTTCAATGAGCCGGAGTTGATCCTGAGTGTAAAAAGACTTAACATTGATTCAAAGACAGGCCGGCTGCGCAGGCTTTTAGCACATGTAAGTGCATGTGAGCTTCTCCGACTGTTTAGCTCAAGGCCGCTGCTCTGCACCGCACTCATACGGCGGTTACAGCTGATAACGCCGTCCCGATCAACGGCGTCGTCGCGAAGGTGTAGCATCCTCTGGTTCCCCCTCTGGTAAACACTGTTAGCTCGGTAGGCACTTTCGTCGTTGTTTTCACTTCTGGCACCGTTAGCTGTGAGACACTT